TATATTTAGAAACACTATTTCAATCTACATACTTGTCATGTAGTTCTTTTTCTAGTCTCCTCAAAAACGATTTGGTATTGGTATTTATTACATGTTAGTTGTGTATGGCTTACTTAGACAAGTGTCTTTGTTTACGTCCTATGTCTGTCTATATTCCCACTGTGAAATGCAGTCCCATTTTCACCCTAATGGAATAATGGGCCAGCAGACCAGGGACCGATTGCACCAGTTGGGTGAAAAAATTGTATTACATTCTAGGTCGGGCGTAGCAATGTCCAACTTTGGGATCAGAATTTACACCTGTTGCACCAACCAAAATAAGATTAGTCGTAGCTAAATCCGGTGTAAGTAATGCGTGTTCATGAGATTTGATGCTTCATAATTATGGATGGTAGGCAGCGCCCGTTACTAGGCTGTTACCATCCTCATGGCAGTTCTAAAATAATGACTTGTATAAACCCTGAATTGCTGATGCTATGTATTGGCCATTGAGAGGCTTTGAAGGACCGGTCGGCCATATTGGCACTCCCGATTAGGAGCAGTCCTCCATAGGAATGAATGGAATTCTACAGTATTTCAATTAAGTGTTTCAAGGACAAAATTACATGTATTTAGGTATTTTTTGTTGTTGTAGTGGGGACAGTAACATTAGTACTCTCTAAAAAATATATATACTTTAAGGGAAATATTTTATGTTTAGCTCACATAATATAATTTAAAAGTATGCAATATGGTGTCTGTAATAAAATAAACGTGTCAAAAACGAATGTACACATTAATAAATACATTTTCTATAGCTTCGAAAATATGTTTTATAATTGAGGAGTGCCAAGATGGCTGCGCGAAGGCTTCAATACAGCGCCCCCTGTTATTCATCCAGGGTTTATAGACATCATTGGTTCTAAACTTTGCAAGGCGTCCTTCCGATCACTTCACAAAGCCCACCACTATGCATGCATGTTTTCTTAACCACAACTGGATCGATTCATCAATAATTACTGTGGGAATGAATATCATTGAATGACGGAAATATTGGAATAAAGTAGGCTAATGCCATTGAAGGCATTTATCATAGTGTTGCTTACAGAAACTCCCAAAGTCATCCAACCGTTTTAAAAAGCTAGCGATAGCCTTGTGTGGTCAGCTATAATTTCAGCGTTATTGCATTGCTTTGAGGCAAGCGTGGGGACTCGTCTTGATAAATCAATCAATGTCAGATTTTTCTTTTCACGGAATATCCGTTTGGATAGCCTACAAGGCTGGGAAAATGTTAGTCAAATTGAGGTGTGTTTTCTAGCCGCCTCAAAAATGATATGGTATTGGTATATATTACATATTAGTTGTGTATGGCATACTTTGGAAATAAAGACACTTCTCTGTCTGTCTATATGCCCACTGTGAAATGCAGTTCCACTTTCACCCTAATGGAATACTGGGCCAGCAATCCAGCACATTTTACGTCAGACGTAGAGTTACGACCCATTTACGATCTACTGGTACAACCAGCCCCAGGAGGTCCTTTGTCCAAGCTGTCCTTAATCAGGTTTATGTATGGGGGTTGGTGTGCTATGTCTTGGATCAGGCCCCTTTCCCCATTTTGCACCGCTTGAGGGAAGGGGGTGCTTTGTTGTACCTCTCACTGGTGACCTACATACTCTGTATTGAGTGCACTGTCATATTTTTCTCCCCTCTTCTTCTTTGTCTGGATACTTTTTGTTTGTGAAGCCAATGTCCCATTCTGTCCCCACTGCGGAGACATCCGTCACCATCTAATTTTAGTGATTGCAACAGCAAAAAAACTTGGTGTTAGGTTAAAATCAATATTTTTCATTATTGTATGTTTCCTTTTCTGGAGGGTGCAGAACTGTCATTGCCTTGTAACATGGTCCCACACTCCTACATTTGATTTTATTGTTATGCATGTAAAGAAGCAACTTAATCACCTCAGGATGTAATTCCCATTACTCTGGGAGCTGAATACAGTGTTTTGGTACTTTTGATAATGGCACCTTCACATTATTTGAGCATTTGACTGTCACTGGGCTACAGGGATATGTTTATATTGAGCGAAGGAAATGTTACAGGATGGCTTCATTGACCCTTTATAGACGGTTATATAACATAGGGTTATACGCATTGTATTAAAATGGTATTACGCATATTATAATATTGTTAATATATAGCCTGCTATCCATAAAGCTTGATTTAATTAAGCCGGGAAATAGTAAAAAATACAAAAAAATAAGGAAACATATGGGCGCTATTTTACCCACCACAGGAAATGAGTGTTTCTAGTCAAATATTTTGACGACAGACTTTTTAAAAGGTACTCCCAAAAACTTGTGGGCTGGGCCTTAGCCCAGTCTTTCTCCGTGGTGTGTCACGTGCGTTGGTGACAGTCTGTCAGAGTCAACGGCGGCGTATGATTGGCTTACATATTTAAGAAAGGGCCCTCCCATAGGCTGTCCGAACACACGTCACTCCGATCAGCTGTTAGTGAGCCTCAACAATAACAAAGGGAACAGTTGGGACCTCGGAAAGGCTCGGAAAAGTAACGAACTGTGTAGCTCCGAATACAAAGGTCCGTGAACTTAATTTCTTCTGCGAATAAAACTTTTTTTATATTTTCGAAAATAAACAATCTACCTCAAAGTCTTCAGGATTGTATCACTAACTATCCGTCCTTTGTTGTTCACACCTTTCCTTGCCGCAGGTGAGTTTTTTTTTTGGGGGGGGGTCTCTTTGTTGTCTGTTGTTCAAAGAACACACAGTCCTGTTTTGCAATTCAATTATAGGCCGTTGTTGACATGAATTTATTTTCACAAGAACGATTTAGCACAAATGCATAGCCTATTTCCACTGTTTTTATGCACCAACAGTGTTTTGTGTAGCAAAAATAAGATTCTCGGCCCATTTTTGCCAAATAAGAGTCAGACCGCAGTGTAATGAAACGTACGGTCTAGATGTCTACCTATCTATTGAAGGAGGAGTTATTTATATGCACAATACAGAATTGTACTTTTATGTTCAACTTTGCTGGCAGTTGAACATTGTAGGAGCTGCGACCCGCCCAAGAGGTGTAGGGTTACGCTATACACCCTCCGCTTGTATGCTAGTCAACAAACCATCCTGCAATCAGACAGCCTACCACGATTTGAAGTTGTAATTGAACCTAAAATATGCCGTGTTTTTTTTTTTTTTTACTGTATATGTAAATCAATCAATAAAATGTATTTATAAAGCCCCTTTCACACCAGCAGTTGTACAAAGTGCTTACACAGAAACCGAGCCTAAAACACCAGAGAGCAGGAAATGTAGATGTAGAAGCACGTTGAACAGACAATAACTGAACATGTATTTATATTGTCAGTGATTTTATTTGTTTTATTACAGAGCTAATATCAGGCATTTTGCTCTGGGTAGAACACTCTTGGAGAATATCCATATGACGTAATCGTTACTGCTCCTAACGTTCTCTGTTCCAAGGTGTCGACGACAGGCCACCAACCATCCAAATACATACGACAAGAAAAGTATTCTCTATTGTGCTCTCACATAACCTACCGTTACAGTCCGTTAATAATAATATTCTGCCTTTTTAATGGACCCAATATCACGACGCTTCTTCAACCCCCGTCCTTGTTTGCTATCTGAATAGAGCCAGCGGTCTCGGAAGAAAACAATGCATGCAAGCGATATTTTGTTGAGGACGAACAGGTGCAGGAGATTATAACCCGGTTGCGCATTGGACATACTGTAGATAAAATCCCATAGAAAAGCCCTCACAGTCCCTCGACCTCATAGCACAGCTGCTAATTTTCTTTGTCGTTGAATCTAACAAATAAGAGGATATTGAATCAAAGAACGACGTGTTTGCATTCGCTTGCAGCCTACAAATCTTCGACGAAGATGTCTGATTTTAAGTAATATATGACAAACTAATTTGGGCATAACGTGTATGTTTGCCTGTAGCCTACCTGGCAGACCAGTTTTTAGTTTTCTGTCAGGTCTACCAAACAGCTAACTTGTCATCTTTGAACATTATCATAAAGAAGCTACTGTAGTTCTCTCAGCTTTTCAGATCTTACAAACCCACAGATCTCGAATTATTGGGTGCACTGATCTGTATTTGTTTTCCATAAATGTGTACATACATACAACTCATAGTTTACAATTGCACTGACAAATGTGGCTTCACAGCAGGAATTCAATTTTGTCTGGCAGAATTATGCTTGTTGTGTAACACTGGTTTTGCTTCAGGTCAGGGAACACTGGTTTTGCTTCTGGTCAGGGGTCATAATCTATGACCTGTAGTCAGTGTCACTGCAGGGCTGTGTCCCTGGTGTGTCAGTGTGGGGGTAGTAGTTAACGTTATCAGCATGAGGAAAATGCTGTCTGGCTTTTTACTTTCTAGTCAGTGGGACTGGAGGTCTAATTGCAAAGAAAGGTTAGGCTTATACCACCAATACTGGGCTGTATGGTCAGAGTTGACCCCTAGGTGAAGATACAGCATAATCAACACTATAGTGTGTGTTCTATAAAGGACCACCCAATCAGTGAACAAGCTGCTATGTTACAGACCTGTCTGTCAGTTGGCAGCTAGGTGATGATGGGTCTATTTTCATAATTGCCTTTTATGAGGGATGTCTGGTAGATAGGAAAATGATACCCCCACCTGTAAACATTTACAACCACAGACGGTGCCTCTTTTGAAGTTTGTGACAGTTGTAAAGGATCTGGCTATCCTTGGTTGTTTTTTTATTAGCGAGTATTAGCGATATAGAACATCTCTTTATTGACAGAGAGCGTTAATATTGAACTGTCCTCTAAAACTAGTAACCCAGAAATAAATATAGATGTCCTTCCAGTTCAGTCTAACCCATGTTTTCCTCCTGCCAATTGCCCAAAAGCCATATAAGCTCATGTATATGGTCTCAAATGTGTCCCTCAAGATCACAACGATTATTTCCTCTTTCTCCCCCTCCCCTTTGTCTCTCAGGTCCTTTGTAATTTTGCACACGTCGAGGTGAGCTATGACCAGACTTTGCACGGCTCTCCTCAGATGATAGACATCTGTACCTTATTGAAGCACTTTAGCACCTGCAGCTGATGACCAAAGCGCCTGCTCCCCACCCTCGCCCCGGTCCTCGCACCGCTCAGCCCCCTCTAGGTCCCGTCGTACCCCCCCAAGGAGTCCCAGTATGTTCCAGAGGCTCACCAGCGTCCTGTTCGGGGACGATGTGGAGGAGGTGAGCCGAGGAGGCCCTGGAGAACAGGGCTTTGGCCAGAAGGAGGAGGATGAAGAGTGGATCCTGGTGGACTATCTGGGTGAGTTTCAGAACGTACACGTACACACACACACACACAGACGAAACATTTCACAGACATAAACACAAACAAAAATGCAAATACACACTCTAAACACAAACAAACCCCTCACACACCATATCCTCCTGGTATCCATGTACAAAACGGTTCAGATGGGTTCAACAGTGAGCATCATTTCCATACAGTCACGTGTTGGGAACTTCCAATCAAATCAAATCAAATTTTATTGGCCACATGCGCCAAATACAACAGGTGCAGACATTACAGTGAAATGCTTACTTACAGCCCTTAACCAACAGTGCATTTATTTTTAACAAAAAAGTAAAAATAAAACAACAACAAAAAAAGTGTTGAGAAAAAAAAGAGCAGAAGTAAAATAAAATAACAGTAGGGAGGCTATATATACAGGGGGGTACCGGTGCAGAGTCAATGTGCGGGGGCACCGGCTAGTTGAGGTAGTTGAAGTAATATGTACAGTGGGGAAAAAAAGTATTTAGTCAGCCACCAATTGTGCAAGTTCTCCCACTTAAAAAGATGAGAGAGGCCTGTAATTTTCATCATAGGTACACGTCAACTATGACAGACAAACTGAGAAAAAAAAATCCAGAAAATCACATTGTAGGATTATTAATGAATTTATTTGCAAATTATGGTGGAAAATAAGTATTTGGTCACCTACAAACAAGCAAGATTTCTGGCTCTCACAGACCTGTAACTTCTTCTTTAAGAGGCTCCTCTGTCCTTCACTCGTTACCTGTATTAATGGCACCTGTTTGAACTTGTTATCAGTATAAAAGACACCTGTCCACAACCGCAAACAGTCACACTCCAAACTCCACTATGGCCAAGACCAAAGAGCTGTCAAAGGACACCAGAAACAAAATTGTAGACCTGCACCAGGCTGGGAAGACTGAATCTGCAATAGGTAAGCAGCTTGGTTTGAAGAAATCAACTGTGGGGAGCAATTATTAGGAAATGGAAGACATACAAGACCACTGATAATCTCCCTCGATCTGGGGCTCCACGCATGATCTCACCCCGTGGGGTCAAAATGATCACAAGAACGGTGAGCAAAAATCCCAGAACCACACGGGGGGACCTAGTGAATGACCTGCAGAGAGCTGGGACCAACGTAACAAAGCCTACCATCAGTAACACACTACGCCGCCAGGAACTCAAATCCTGCAGTGCCAGACGTGTCCCCCTGCTTAAGTCAGTACATGTCCAGGCCCGTCTGAAGTTTGCTAGAGTGCATTTGGATGATCCAGAAGAGGATTGGGAGAATGCCATATGGTCAGATGAAACCAAAATAAAACTTTTTGGTAAAAACTCAACTCGTCGTGTTTGGAGGACAAAGAATGCTGAGTTGCATCCAAAGAACACCATACCTACTGTGAAGCATGGGGGTGGAAACATCATGCTTTGGGGCTGTTTTTCTGCAAAGGGACCAGGACGACTGATCCGTGTAAAGGAAAGAATGAATGGGGCCATGTATCGTGTGATTTTGAGTGAAAACCTCCTTCCATCAGCAAGGGCATTGAAGATGAAACGTGGCTGGGTATTTCAGCATGACAATGATCCCAAACACACCGTCCAGGCAACGAAGGAGTGGCTTCGTAAGAAGCATTTCAAGGTCCTGGAGTGGCCTAGCCAGTCTCCAGATCTCAACCCCATAGAAAATCTTTGGAGGGAGTTGAAAGTCCGTGTTGCCCAGCGACAGCCCCAAAACATCACTGCTCTAGAGGAGATCTGCATGGAGGAATGGGCCAAAATACCAGCAACAGTGTGTGAAAACCTTGTGAAGACTTACAGAACACGTTTGACCTGTGTCATTGCCAACAAAGGGTATATAACAAAGTATTGAGAAACTTCTGTTATTGACCAAATACTTATTTTCCACCATAATTTGCAAATAAATTCATTAAAAATCCTACAATGTGATTTTCAGGATTTTTTTTTCTCAGTTTCTCTGTCATAGTTGACGTGTACCTATGATGAAAATTACAGGCCTCTCTCATATTTTTAAGTGGGAGAACTTGCACAATTGGTGGCTGACTAAATACTTTGGGTAGAGTTAAAGTGACTATGTATAAATAATTAACAGAGTAGCAGCAGTGTAAAAGGATGGGGTGGGGGGGCAGTGCAAATAGTCCGGGTAGCCATGATTAGCTGTTCAGGAGTCTTATGGCTTGGGGGTAGAAGCTGTTGAGAAGTCTTTTGGACCTAGACTTGGCACTCTGGTACCGCTTGCCGTGCGGTAGCAGAGAGAACCGTCTATGACTAGGGTGGCTGGAGTCTTTGACAATTTTGAGGGCCTTCCTCTGACCGCCTGGTATAGAGGTCCTGGATGGCAGGAAGCTTGGCCCCAGTGATGTACTGGGCCGTACGCACTACCCTCTGTAGTGCCTTGCGGTCGGAGGCCAAGCAGTTGCCATACCAGGCGGTGATGCAACCAGTCAGGATGCTCTCGATGGTGCAGCTGTAGAATTTTTTGAGGATCTGAGGATCCATGCCAGTCTCCTGAGGGGGAATAGGCTTTGTCGTGCCCTCTTCACGACGGTCTTGGTGTGCTTGGACCATGATAGTTCGTTGGTGATGTGGACACCAAGGAACTTGAAGCTCTCAACCTGTTCCACTACAGCCCCGTCGATGAGAATGGGGGCGTGCTCAGTCCTCTTTTTTTTTCCTGTAGTCCACAATCATCTCCTTTGTCTTGGTCACGTTGAGGGAGAGGTTGTTATCCTGGCACCACACGGCCAGGTCTCTGACCTCCTCCCTATAGGCTGTCTCATCGTTGTCGGTGATCAGGCCTACCACTGTTGTGTCGTCGGCAAACTTAATGATGGTGTTGGAGTCGTGCCTGGCCATGCAGTCATGGGTGAACAGGGAGTACAGGAGGGGACTGAGCACGCACCCCTGAGGGGCCCCCGTGTTGAGGATCAGTGTGGCAGATGTGTTGTTACCTACCCTTACCACCTGGGGGCAGCCAGTCAGGAAGTCTAGGATCCAGTTGCAGAGGGAGGTGTTTAGTCCCAGGATCCTTAGCTTAGTGATGAGCTTTGAGGGCACTATGGTGTTGAATGCTGAGCTGTAGTCAATGAATAGCATTCTCATGTAGGTGTTCCTCTTGTCCAGGTGGGAAAGGGCAGTGTGGAGTGCAATAGAGATTGCATCATCTGTGGATCTGTTGGGGCGGTATGCAAATTGGAGTGGGTCTAGGGTTTCTGGGATAATGCTGTTGATGTGAGCCATGACCAGCCTTTCAAAGCACTTCATGGCTACAGACGTCAGTGCTACGGGTCGGTAGTCATTTAGGCAGGTTAACTTAGAGTCCTTGGGCACGGGGACTATGGTGGTCTGCTTGAAACATGTTGGTATTACAGACTCAGTCAGGGACATGTTGAAAATGTCAGTGAAGACACTTGCCAGTTGGTCAGCACATGCTCGGAGTACACGTCCTGGTAATCCGTCTGGCCCTGCGGCCTTGTGAATGTTGACCTGCTTAAAAGTCTTACTCACATCGGCTACGGACTACCTTTTTAAAAGTCAACACTGACTATATGCCACTTCTCTAGCCACTTTTCTTGTTTTTCCACCATGTAAGCATATTATCAGATATATACATCTTAAAAGCGTCTAGAAACTCACCTTATCAAACTGCTTGGCTATGCAATCCTTAGGTGCCTTGTAGTCTCCATAAACCACCGCTTCGTGCAGACGCAAACTAAGTTCACCTGCATTCACAAATGCAGACACAAGGATGCTACTCTAAGCCCTGGCAAGGTTCCCAGTATGTATACGCACAAAAACACATACACGTGTGCCCATACACACATGGCTCCACACATATACAGTATATAAATGCTGCTCAATAACACACACACACCTTGCACACACTTGTTCTTTGGGGGGAAGGGAGTGCATCCAGTCTGTCTGTCCCTGACACATCTCATATTCCACAAGCGTGTGAATATTCAAGGCGTGAGAGACTGAATCCTGCTGGCCCACTTCTGTACGGGGGGAGGGGAGGGTGGTGAAAAGGCTATGTGGCAGTATATGGGCAATATGTCTGTAAATGGGTCAAACAAAAGCATGGGGGGTTAAGGGGAGGAAGATCAAAATAGGCCCCGGTAGAGTTACCCTTCTGGGCTCTGAGGAGTGAGACGTGTGGGCAGACGGACCAGCAGAATTCCCCTCCAGAATTGCCCCCAGTCGGTAACACAGTCTATGACCCAAACCACCAGGGATTCATGCATCCTGAATGCATTTATAGCGTTGTCTATCACGCCATAATTCGTTATAGGAGTTGTGTAACATATGTAGCTCATGGCCTCATATGACAACCTTTGGAAATGCATTAAGGCTGAGAATGTGTTCATAATTCATTTTACACATCATTCATTACAGGTGTTCCATGTAAATGCTTAAATGCCTATAAAAGCATTCCTAATGCTTTACAAACAGGTGGTTGATATATTACTCTACAGTCCAGCACTGTAGCCTTACCCAAACTGTTATAACCCTTTGTTACTACATGATCATATAACAGTATTATATAATAATGATTCATCTGATCATCTTATTGTGAATCTCTAATATCAGATGATACATGGTATCATAAACCCTTTATTATGTGTCAGTTTTATATAACTGTTAGAGTGAATGCAGGAAGCAGACACTTGAGGTCAGATGTTTTGTCTCTGAAAGCGTTGAATAATTATTTCCTGCACAGACTGCAGTACAATGACCTATTTTACAGTAGGGATTGATTCCACACGCTTAAAGTGTGTACTATTTAGTGTGTAATTAAACAAGTAAACAAGTTGCACTAGTCTCCTACTTCTTCTAAACTGCTAATCTATTATATCAATACTGTAGACTGCTTTCCTTCCCCCTTTCTGTGCACACACACACACACACACACACACACACACACACACACACACACACAAGGTGGATGGTGAGAGGATTACAGGTCCTAATTAGCCTTACAGAGATAGTGATGAGGGATGTAAGCGGTTTTAGGGTTCTGCTGCGTTGCTTAGCGGCTAAGCGTGCCGATCACCCTGAAGGGTGTGTGTCGACACAGATGAGATTTACCATGTTTTTATTTTAGTAAACAAGGTGGCTGCACTGCCACTGACATGCGTGACGGAGAAAGATGAGGATGGAAACTGAAGTGTCCTTGGGAGTGGGTGTATTTATATCACACATAGACACCATAACACATCCACACACTCAGAAATGAACACACTGAGAAACACAACACATCTATATACATATCATCTGAAAATGAAAAAGAGGAAAACTTTCATGATCATACACACAAGGGAACACATCCAACACACACACACACACACACACACACACACACACACACACACACACACACACACACACACACACACACACAAAGAACACAGTTATACACGAGAACACAGTTATACACGACAACAGTTATACACGAGAACACGGTTATACACGAGAACACGGTTATACACGAGAACACGGTTATACACAAGAACACAGTTATACACGAGAACACAGTTATACACGAGAACACAGTTATACACGAGAACACAGTTATACACGAGAACACCGTTATACACGAGAACACCGTTATACACAGAGAACACCGTTATACACAGAGAACACCGTTATACACGAGAACACCGTAATACATAGAGAACACAGTTATACACAGAGAACACAGTTACACACAAACAGAGGAAAACCTCTACACACTCACACGTACATGCACACACTCAGGTGTTTGTCAAAGATTCTGTCCAAAAAAAGACAGGAATTAAGTGTTGGCCAGACATCGGTGCAGGCTATTTTTAGTATAATGGCAACCCAGACAGCAATCTGCTGGCTTTGATTCCTGTCTGGTATCAAGTTGCTTTTTCCGTCATACTTCACATATGGCAGAGTATTATTCTGACTTATTAGTGCCCTACTGACAGTAACACCACCAAGTCTCAAAGCAAGACATGCTATATAGCCCAGGGATGCAGTGAATGCATCTTCTCGCTCCAGCCAAACCACCTAATTTAACTTGATTCGATTTATTCTATTCAAACGTAGTTTCTCTCCCAACCTTTTAAGCAGCATCACGAGTTGAGATAGTTAGCTAGTGGAAAAATGTGTTTTGGTGCATTCTAGAGTAGGGAAATACTGGAAAGCATTTGGCAGCAGTTTGGTAGAGGGAGTTACTGAAGCTGCTTGACCCTATGAATGACAGATCTTGCGCACACACACTATAGTATCTTGGGTCATGCATGTTATTCTGACCGATAGAACTCTGCTCTCTACCTGTAGGGCTTTGACACCTATGCGTCAGGGGAAAATATTGTTTTTGTTTTGATCGCTAAAGCCACTCTCTGAGCCACATTGCCCCCTAAAGTCATGTCAGGGTATTGCATATGATTTGTCACCCCACCCAGGTTGAGCTCAAGAACGTCATATTGCATTTTTACATTTTGCTACAAGGAGTTGTATAACACATTTTCACACATATTCCCTACATGCTTTTGCAAACAGAAACATTCCATTTATTTTTTTAATGTTAATTGTACTGTTCCCTGCCTTTCTCCCCAGCCGAGGCCTGCTCCAGCCCTTGTGGTGATGGCCTGTCTGAGGTGGACCTGACTTCGGAGGAGGAGGAGGACCTTGTGGTAGTCCCCTCTCCCATCGCCAGCTCCCCCATCCGCTATGCCTCCTGCACCTCCCTGGACTCCACCGCTGGCACCGATGATGGGGGTCCTGAGGAAGAGGAGGAGGAAGAGGGGGGTTTCCAGCGCCTGGAGGCCTGTTCTCTAGAGGAGAGCTGGTTCGTCACTCCCCCACCCTGCTTCGGAGGGGGGAGGAGGGGCAAGCCTATGGTACTGGAGACCAGCCCCCTGGAGAACCTGCTGATAGAACACCCCAGCATGTCTGTGTACACCGCCCACAGTCCCCCACGACTCTCCCTCAACCTCCCCCTCTCCCTCAAGCTCAATCTCAGCCTCCCCCCTGTTGACGCACCTGCCGTCGTGGGCAAGGAGCCGGGACGACGTTCGCTTGACACCCCCCGCCACAGGTAGGACTTATTGCTGCAAAGATTCTGGCAGTAGTGTTACTGCACCTACATTTTGTGAATTTATGCTTAAACTATGGATTAACCAATCCAGACCCCTTTCTGTCTCCCCCTATAGGCCAGAGACAGTAGTGCAGCGCAGAGCCAGCCTCCATGCTGGCTGCTATGCGGCTGCCCTCTCAGCCCGGGCCTCAGGCCTCCTAGACCAGGCCCAGCAGCACGGACGCCTGGCCCAGAGGGTACGTGACGCCGCTCAGCGCCAGCTCCTCTCCCGCAACGCCCTGCGCCGCCTCAACCTGCTGCGTACTGGAGGGGCCAAGCAGGCCAAGACCACCACCACCTATCTACACCAGCCTGGCCAGAGGCACCTCAACTACTGAGGTCCTGGCCCTATCCCTTACTCTCCATCCATCAATTCATCCATCTGTCTCAACCTGGATCCACGCAAAGAGTACATCCTGCAACGTGCTCTCCATCTCCCCACTTCCTCCCTCCATCCACCGATCCTCCACTCTGGAATGAAGAGACGTGATGAGGATGTCTTCTTTAAGGACTCCTTTAGAATCAATGCCATAGGTCACTTTACTCCGCTGCAGGTGCCGACCACCACATGGTAACTGGGAGAGACTGGTTCAATCAGACATTACACCTGTGGCGACACTCTCCGCTTTCACCTACTCTGCAATGGTTGTGTGATGTCATAGTGTGGCTGTATGCTGCCATAGAATGGTTGTGTGATGTCATTGATTGATATCATAGAGTTGCTTGTATGTTGTCATAGTGACACTAAGTGATGTCATTGAGTTGTTGTATGCTGTCATAGAGTGGTTGTGTGCTATCAGAAGAGGATTTGTGGCTTAATAGAATGACTGTGATGTCTTTAGAGTAGGAGTAGGCATTTAGAAGAGGAGCATGTGTCTCACTTGTAATTAGGACAGTTTAACAAGGTTGTTTCTCATGCCCCTCCAATGAAATTGCTTCCTCTATTGTTTCCTGTCTTTTCGAATTTTGAGATGGAGATGCTCTGTCACTTCATGGCAAACTAATGTAATTTGTCATTCAGATGGCCACAACTTACTTTTCAAAATCAGCACCCCTCCTCTCTTGACTATGGGTGAACATGCCTTGAACTTAGTAATTCAGTACTTTCACAATATTGTTTGAGAAAATGATGGTCAAATACTGGGTTAAATATCACTAAACGCCTTGTTATAATAGTAGAATTTAAGATGAAAAATAAATAAATGTAAAATGTATTTAAAAAAACTTCCAAAATATTTTTTAAAAGAAAAAAACATATATTACATATCAGTATGAAGTTAGTATGAGCGTTTATCTGCATAGGTATGTTTGTAAGCAGCGGTTTGACTATGTTAGTGTGTGATTTGTTGCATGGTTGTATAGTGCTAGTCTCCAGACGTTGAGAAAACAGAAAGAAATGTGTTTTTGTATCTTATGTCATTGTTTGTTCTAAATCTCCAGTCCACTTCTCAGGGTCATAACCAATCACCTTTACACTTTACTAAAATGCAGATTACTTGATGGATGTTAATTGTCTTTGTACATACTGGAGACCTTCCAAATTTGTAATGGTGTGCTTTGCCTTGTGGTAATGTTTGTGATCAATGATTGACCTTTTAAAATAATAGTGTGAGTCTCAAGAAAATTGAATTTGAACGTTTGCTTGTCCAAGGACTGTGAAAATGAACTCTTACTCTCTCAATCGACTGTTAAAACCCACCACGATGGAGTGACACTGTTAGTCTTTTTCAATTTTGTTTATATATTTGTTCTGTGTACTTTCCATTGTTTTGAGTTTGATTTTTGCCCTGTTCTTTATTTGCTTAGTTACATAACTTAGTAATATTATGTTAAAGTATTTAAACCAAAAAACTAGCAGTAAACTCTAACCTTGCAATAGTTTATATTACTATTGTTTTTGCTTTTACAGTATATTCTTCTTTACTTTAACAATGTTTGAAATTGTGAAGTTTGTGACAACATGAATCTGTGCACTCTAGTGGTAAGAAAGCACTGAGAGACACAACTCAAGAACACCTAAGTAGCCTATTTAAGTTTCACAGAACCTCTAAAAGTCAAGTATCCAGGCAAACTCAATAATTTATATGTTATTTTGACCTTATATTATGACCTAATTTCATCTGTTTCTTTGTACTTATTGGGGGAAATACACAGTACATACATACTCAGATGTATTTAGCATGGTAGCATCAAGAAGCACTAAGAAGGTTTTGTTTTGTCTAGATAGATGTAAACTGATTATAGTGAAGTGATTTAAGCCTAGCCATTGTATTTGTGTAACTTTTTTATTTTCAAATGTCTCCGATTGCAACACTTGCATCATTTGACGCGTTAATTTTTGTACTGCATTGTGACACGGGCAACATGACGAAGGGAATGGAGGAGATTACAAAATCCTCATTTTTGATGTGTGAAGCTGGAAGGAGCCATTTTGTTTCTGTCCTCAACTGTCTGAGCTCTTGATGATAATAACAGGGATTTGTATTTTGTTTTATGCCTTGAATTTGTTGTGGGTCACGTGCCTTCCAGGTTAAACAGTATAATGACAATGCATTAATGAAGAACTTGAACTCTTGTCCAAAGGGACAACACATACAAAAGCAAATCAACTATGCACACAGGAGGTAGCTTCCCTCCGTGAACCACCCAGCCCATGTACAGCTTTTATACACAAATGTAGCAAGCCTGTTTTCTCCTGTGTGAAGAATATTTGGTGGCATTTTTTATTTTTTTTACTAAGTGTTAGACTTTTGCTTTGATTTATTTTACTGGAATAATACAGCACTTTGCCAAAAAAGTGTAGGAATTTGAGCGTTAACTGTTATTTATCTACTTAACTGATCGCATTATTTGTATTTTGGACGTATGAGAGATCAATTCACTCTGTTTTTATGGTCAGCAAAATTAGCAAAAGAGAATGTGGTGGTCTGTTCTAAAACTAATACATGATCTGTTGTCATGATGTAAGCCACAGTCTACAATAAATGTTTTCATACACATACTCTCCCGTTTCTGTCCATTTGATCCATTTAACCTGTATTCTACCAGGTTTATTCAACTATGATGAAATCTCTTTTGCAAGAAAGACCCACATCTAGCCTACAGATAATTTCCAAACCAAGCCCTTTATGGCACTGAGCTGAGACAGCTATGATGATACTTTCAGTATGACATTCTCATGAGTTCTGAATAAAGACTACATACAGTGCCTTTCAAAAGTATTCACCCCCCTTGGCATTTTTCCTATTTTGTTGCAGTACAACCTGTAATTTAAATGGATTTTTATTTGGATTTCATGTAATGGACATACACAAAATAGTCCAAATTGGTGAAGTGAAATAAAAAAAATTACTTGTTTCAAAAAAATTCAAAAAAATCAATTACGGAAAAGTGGTGCGTGCATATGTATTCACCACCTTTGCTATGAAGCCCCTAAATAAGATCTGGTGCAACCAATTACCTTCAGAAGTCACATAATTAGTAAATAAAGTCCACCTGTGTGCAATCTAAGTGTCACATGATCTGTCACATGATCTCAGTATATATACACCTGTTCTGAAAGGCCCAGAGTCTGCCACACCACGAACAAGGCGCACCACCAAGCAAGCGGCATCATGAAGACCAAGGAGCTCTCCAAACAGGTCAAGGACAAAGTTGTGGAGAAGTACAGATTAGGTTTGGGTTATAAAAAAACATCCCACTGAGCACCATTAAATCCATTATTAGAAAATTTAAAGAATATGGCACCACAACAAACCTGCCAAGAGAGGGCCGCCCACCAAGACTCACGGACCAGGCAAGGAGGGCATTAATCAGAGGCAACAAAGAGACCAAAGATAACCCTGAAGGAGCTGCAAAGCTCCACAGCGGAGATTGGAGTATCTGTCCATAGGACCACTTTAAGCCGTACACTCCACAGAGCTGGGCTTTACGGAAGAGTGGCCAGATAAAAGCCATTGCTTAAAGAAAAAAATAAGCAAACACGTTTGGTGTTCGCCAAAATCCATGTGGGAGACTCCCCAAACATATGGAAGAAGGTACTCTTGTCAGATGAGACTAAAATTGAGCTTTTTGGCCATCAAGGAAAACATTATGTCTGGCGCAAACCCAACACCTCTCATCACCCCGAGACCACCATCCCCACAGTGAAGCATGGTAGTGGCAGCATCATGCTGTGGGGATGTTTTTCATCGGCAGGGACTGGGAAACTGGTCAGAATTGAAGGAAATTCTTGAGGGAAACATATTTCAGTCTTCCAGAGATTCACAATACAAAAAATGGTATCTTCAAAGTGGTAGGCATGTTGTGTAAATGAAATGATACAAACCCCAAAACATCTATTTTAATACCAGGTTGTAAGGCAACAAAATAGGAAAAATGCCAAGGGGGGTGAATACTTTCGCAAGCCACTGTAACAGCTTTGCACAGCAATATTAAAACCTAATAAAATGTTTAAAATATGGACTTTATCAAACAATTGAGAATAATCACATGTTAGATTTTTCAGTATTTAAAACTCGACTCAAACATCTGACCAATCACAACAGAGCAAAGTAGTTGCCAGGATGATCTTCAATAACTATTACAAACAAACAACTGATTCAACACTTTAGAAAATAAACAGTGACACAGAAGATAATAACTCTGATAAAATAATCCTATACACTTGTTTTAAAGGCTATAAAATTGAGTAATTACTAATGTTTATTGTGTGTTGAAATCTGAGGGGTATACTACAAGTTGGCCAGCTCAGCAACCAGAAATAACTGTTGATTTTCTGATTCATTAAGAAAGCTAAACTTTATGCTTTTGGTTGTTGAGTCAATTAGACCATGCCCATTTCAAGCTTATATTTCTAAAAAAAATTAAGTTATTTCAGAATATTTAGGCATGTAACTCCTTGATCCTGCTTTACTATATACGGTATAGGCAAACATGGTTTAGTAAGAAACTGTGGTATAGGTATACATGATACTACCCTCTGGGAGTAGATGTCACTATTTGGACGGGTCCATCATTCTTATCTTTGTATGACAAATAATGCATTAGCTAGAAGAGGAGTGAAAAAAGCTTCAACCTAGCTCAATGTATGTACAATAACAATAAGCATATTAATCTCTGCGTTGAAATGTGTAAGAATCTTCCTGTTTCAATATGACAGTGCTCAATGCTGTCTTCATCTCGGGTTGTTTACATTTTGAAGGAAGACCACGTTGTTTCTCCTGACCCTCCTCTGATTGGCTAAGCGAGTTTGAAACCCCTCCTATAGGTGGACCTGTAATACGGAAGTGTTTTTCTTACAGCGAAAAAAATAAGAAAATAGAGCGTAAACGTTTTATATATATACTTGACCACGTGTAAAGGCTACCTCAATGCCTACTGCGTCATTTAAGGTTAACCGGAAAATAAGGAAAGCGCCCTTTCCCCCCCAAAATAGAAATGAAACCCCTCTTGTGCAAAGTATATCCGCCATCCATACAAAGTCGATGAGTGGAAGTATCTAATAATGGTCACAAACACGTGATCAAATGTATTAACTCCTGGGAAATTAAACAGAACGTTTGCTTTCTTATTTGCAATAAATGGAATTCAGATTTGAACATTTAGCGCGTTTAAATGAACCGGGAACACACATGCGCACTTGCCATGGAATGGTCAGATATATAAAGATTGGCGCCGGCGCGCCAGCTGATCATTATTCGTTCATTCATTTCTGAGGGTAAGGAGCTGGCGAGGAGTTGTTTGCTTATATAGCTAGCTATGTATTTCAGTAGTTTATTCAGAAAATTATTGGTACTATTACTGGTAAAGGTACTATGTCGATGAGGAACATTCCGTTTATTGGGTTATTATTATTTTTTTGTCAAAAAAAACTGGAAAAGGAACCAAATGGCAAGAGAGACTGGTAACGTTAACAAACAAGTTGGTTGCAAACTATCTGGCTAACATTAGTTAGCTTATTTGATAAGACAATACATCTGTTTCTTCACATTGGTTTGAAGCTGTGTTCTTTGTTATCAACTTTGCTTGATATTTAACGTTAGCATGCAAGCCACCACTGCTTTTCAGGGACGTGGCAAAAAGATAAGTTAGGCAGTAACTTGGCTAGCCAGCAAACTACATCATCATGCAAATTCTACCTAACAATGTTGAATTATTGCATGTTGCAATACATTCTTACTTTAAGTATCATATCCTTTTTTCTATTTATATAAACTTTTTATGTTGGTATATTGGAGGTAAAGTCGGCTCACTGGTGAGCTAACTGTTACTGTAGCTAGCCATACTGTCCAAATCCTCCCGCTTCGAGAAATTGGCGCGTAGTTGGGTTTCACAAACATCAAAAATAATTATCATACGGTTACTTTTGTTAACAATAACCATGTAAGTTCCTACCAGGGCTTCTGACTTAACATTGGGACTACGGATACAGTAGATTTTATGCAATTTGTGGCAGATTTCTTTGTGGAAATGAGGACGGTACTCACAAGCTCAACCCTCTACCCATTTGGCATGCCTTTTTACCGCCGGAAAAAACAGCCTATTATTATCCAATCATGTTTTGGACTTTGTGAAGATAGTTTTAGAGAGCTTGTACAAATAATACATTTCTTTGCCATTTTAACAATGTTTTTGACCCGTCTCCTTTTCAGTGGAACTCTGAAGCCTTCAATTGACAGAATGTCTAACGTTAGACGCAGGTATGGGAAGCCACACTGTAATAAAGCCTCATTATAAACAAGCATGATTGCAAGCTAGCTATAAAATTGATTATTTGTACATGTTTGTAACAATTTGTATGGTGACCGCTTGCTGTAGCTAACATTGTCTGTCCTTTCAGTGGTCGCATCACATTGCAAGCAAGAGATGAGAACGCACTAGAACAAAATGTCAAGATAACGCGAAAAAGAAAATCTGAGGTTTGTTCAATTAGTTAATAGTGTATTATTTTTAACCATTAGTGTAGCGTTATTGTTTTTATTGGTCTGTCGCCAAATAAGAACTATAGCTAATTGTATTGTCCATATATTTTTCAGCCATCCAAAAAGATGCCACCCGCAGTGAAGAAACAAAGCTATGAAATACAGGTTGGTTGCTTGTTTATTCAATCAATTACCAAGTTGTGCCAGTGAATGATGACTGTAAAACATGTGGGAGAATATAGGGGTAAACTATGGTAAAAATCGCATGGATGTAGAAGTCATTTTTGATGAGACCTAACTAGTTGGTTGTGTGTATGTCGAGTTATTATCTGTGTCAGTGGGTTAGACAACGCGCAATAACCCCGCGTTTTGTCTGTCCCTCCCCCTTTCTCCTCCACCCGCCTAATCTCGCTCACATCGGATTCTTTGTTTTGTTTACACTATGGAACGTTGCATAAATACCCTTTTCTGTCGCCATTAAAATGAGCATTCTCTTTTCGATGTTATTTAAGTTCACATGAATACTATAGCTTTGAACAGTTTGGTAGTTTTCACTGTGCTAGTAGCATGCTGTGACCTCTATTTGTTAATGTGGACTTTTCACTTGGTAAATGCATGCTTATTTATTTATATCTGCATTAGCTGCTTATGTGACTATATGCTGATGAAAAGAGATTGAATTTGGTGCCCTTTCTCTCTCTAGAAACGGTGGTCAGAGGAAGGGGCCAGTCCGTGTGTCCTCGTAGAAACGCCACACAAGGAGCTGGAGATGACCAGAGACCTGTCTGGCTTCAAGCAGTTCCGATTCAAGAACATCTTCATCAAGACCTCACCGCTGCCCTGCCTCAGGTACTGTGTGTGTGTTGAAGGGGCTTAGCCCAAATGGCTTTTACACCTCAATAGAGTGGCAATTGCTCCCCCTCTCATGCAGACGCTCCATGTCTTTGTTCCTAAAGTGTCGTCCCCCCAACGCTACTGAGAAACTCTGAATATGTAATGTTTTAGTGGCAACTCTACTCACCTTAGCCGCTTGGCTAATATGTGTCAATGCAACTCTTACATACAAGATCAGGGTGGCACTCAGTAGACCTGCAACTAGAGAAACTTTAGAAATGAGCTGCTCTGAACTTTTTGCGTCTTCTCCTGTTTGTAACTATTGATGACAAACAAATTCATTGTCTGGTGTTGGGCCTCATAGTCCATGCGAGTGCACACTGGACGTCCTGTTAAGACCTGTGTGTTGTTTCCCCTTGGCAGCTGGGCCAGCTCAGATGACGTGTGGATTAAGATGCTGAACAAGGAGCTGAAGTATGTCCATGACAAGGGCTTCCTACAGCAGCACCCCAAACTAAAGCCCAAGATGAGGGCCATTCTCCTGGACTGGCTTCTAGAGGTACGTGTGTCTCTGAAATGTCTTGCAGTGCTCTATACCGTCTTGGGCCTATTACTTGAACCTATCTATATGCCCTTGTTTACACCTGATTTTGGATTTGTAATGACTGGATACGCATGAGCGAAATGTCTGATACTCTGCCTCCATAGTTATTACCTCAGGGGTTCTACCTCTCAAATACTTTGACTTCTTTACTATAGTGCCCCAGGATCTGTACAGAGACGGTGACTGATTTCTAACCCATCCCTGTTTTCTCCCGTGTTGTAGGTGAGTGAGGTGTACACTCTGCATCGAGAGACGGCTTATCTGGCTCAGGACTACTTTGACCGCTTCATGCTGACACAGGACGATATGGAGAAGGACCGACTGCAGCTCATAGGAATCACAGCCCTCTTCATCGCATCTAAGATAGAGGTAGGTGTAATGTCCTCCCATTTTCATGCTCTTCTGGATTGCGACCACTGCTTTAGTTTATACCATGTCATAACAAATTAATAACAAGATGGCATTCGCTCCATGTATTTTTCTCAAGTCTAATCGTTCCCCCTCCTTACGCCACTCAGGAAATCTACCCCCCAAAGCTCCATGAGTTTGCCTATGTTACTGACGGAGCCTGTGAGGAAGACGCCATCCTGGAGATGGAACTTGTCATGTTGAAGGTAAGAACCCCCTGTTCCCAACTTTGCACTGTTCTAATTCAGTTGTCCCACATTACTTAATGACTCATCTCATCCATCAGGCGCTGAACTGGGACCTGTGTCCAGAGACGGTGATCACATGGCTGAAGCTCTATGCTCAGGTGGAGTCCCTAAAGGATGGCCTCAACTTCCTGGTACCTCAGTTCTCTCAGGACACCTACATCCAGATCACACAGGTGAGTCCACCAGCCCCCTCTGCAGCATTTACAGTTTCTCCTACCAACACTTGATTGTCATGGAAGATTTTAGATTCCCTATAACCGTTTTAATGGTTGTCCTGGTCTCTATTCATGTTCCAGCTTTTAGACCTGGCCATACTGGACATCAACTCTCTGGACTACCAGTATGGGATACTGGCCGCTGCTGCCTTCTGTCATTTCTTCTCATTTGACGTCGTCCACAAAGTATCAGGTAAGCATTGATTTGGCATCGTGTACATTGTTATTGAGATATGGCCCCACTCTAGAACTCCACAGCCTCCTGTGTGTTATTACATAGTTACTAATGTTGTCTGTGTGTTTCTGTGCAGGTCTGACGTGGGATAGTATTGCTCCCTGTGTCCGGTGGATGACCCCCTTCATGCGCACGGTCAGCGCCTGTCCCAGAGCAGAGCTCAAGGACTTTAAGAAAGTGACGTCTGACGACAGACACAACATCCAGACCCACGTAGACTACCTGTCCATGCTGGTGAGTTCTTACACCACCTGTCAGGGGCTGGAATGGGTCAAGTGTTCAAAGAAAACAACCAGAATGGCTGTTTCGAGTATCTCTACCGGTGTTTGGGAGTAGCAAGTCTCTTTTACCCAGAAATGTATTGCAGCCATCTTGGTGATGCATGGGCAGACATTTTGTGCTAGAATGTAATATTTTTCAAGTGTAAGAATAAAACTGCTCATACAAATGTTTATTGTTTTGAATGAATCGTCTTTTCTGTTGCAGAGTGAAGCTCACCAGAGGCAACCGGACAGCCTAGACCGACTATCACCTGCCGCCATTGTAGGGATATTGACTCCACCAAAAAGCACAGAGAAACCAGCCAATCACTGAGCCCCAGGGTCTCCTCACTTTTATCTTCTGACTAACCAGATGAAAGGAGAATTACCTAGACGTCACGCCTGACCAACCAGAGGCCGGGAAACTGAACTACGGAACCTCATCCTCACGTGACCAATCAAATTTGCTTTTGGTAATAACACACCTTTGTGTAGCATGTTAAGATGTGTTATTTTACTTTAAATACCAAGCTGGATATCAGAGTATATGCAGTACAGCCATGGAAATCAGATCATGGTTACTATATTGACTTATTTTGTGAAATGATTGCAACAAAGACCCTGTTCTCGCAATCTTAATCCCCAGAATTTGAATTTTACATGGAGATCATTTGAGTTGACTCAAGTCAAATCTTCCTCCATAGGAAGGCATGTCTGCTGCTCCCCTTCTGTTACTTGAAGCTAAATATTTTAAGACATGGGATGTTTGGTAGCTAAAAAGCTAGATATTTTATTTGAGGTGAATTGGTACCTAATACAGTTGAGTTGCTCAACTCAAGTCTCTTAACATCGTGTTATCATGTGTATTTAGTGCTGTAGAGTCTAAATCTGGATACTCCTGGAAAAGCTCAGCCAGACAATAACACTTAAAGAAGTATTGGTGTTAGTTGTATGCTATGGTGACATTTGAGCTATTTGAAAGGGTAGTGCGGAGTTAACTATTTGCTATACAACCTTTCTTAAACACCATTTTCGAACGCACATATTCTCTCCACACTGTGAACGACTCATTTCCATGTGCCATTGATGCATTGATGCATTCTCATACCACAAAACACATTCCTGGAAAACTTGACTTCAGTAGTTTGACTTAGACCTTTTTGACCAACTTACAATTGTACGGAATTTTAACATTGTATTTATTTGTCCATTTAAGCCTTACAATGTTTTTATGTCCATATATACATTCTTCATAGGGCTATGAATTCAGTTCTTTAACAATGCCAAAGGCAAACTATTTAAGTCACGGGATGCATGTTATTTATGATTTTGATATCTGTTATGGGGAAAAACCCTGTATAATGCAGTTACATATTAAATGTTATGTTGCGTAGTTTTGCGCTAGCCTGTCCAAGGTGCCTTAGTTGAACTAGTATGGCGATTAAATTGTGATGTGAAGACTTGGGAGCCCAGCTGCTCGAGTGCAGGGCTCTAACCAGTCTGTCCAGCAAACCTGTGACTGTAAACTGAAACCTTCAGTATTGGGCAGACGCCTGCTGATGCAGCAGTATACAAAGACCCATGTTTAAACTGTAAATAAATTAAATAGTAATGTGTATATGTTATGTACATAAAATTAAAGTTCTGTTTTCTAATGGAAATATGAAATGTATTGAATAAATGAAATAGAAATTAACACATTTAGCCTGCTTTGTTTATTGTAGACATTGGAATGGCTACATTTGCTTAGTACTTTTTCAACTATGGTTTATGTTGAATTCTTGTGAATTGGAGAGGGAGTGCCATTTACAACAGGTCTAACTTGAATCAGAATCGAGCCACAAGATCAGTACACAATGCTACCTATTTCATGGACATAAGATACATGACTTCTCCAGTCTATCTGTGAAATGCTGAGAGGAGATGGTGACACAATGGAGCTTTAAGGGAGAAATGGGACAAACCTCGCCGGGCCTCCAACAAGAGTGGGGCGCGTGCATCACACCTTGGCTTCCTCCGACATGAAAAAAGCAACTTTTCACAGAATGGTGGGGTGTAATAAAGATGAGAGGCCTGCACTTTTAACATGTGCTTTGCATTACTACAGTATCCTTATCGTTAGGCCTCATGAGTACTGTCTTGGGCCTGGCATTTTAGTTCATGTTTACACATGCCATGGGAGTGTGTGTGTGTCTACTGAGGGGGAGGGGAAAGCTTCACGACTCCTCTTGAATGACAGGCGGTGTGTAAAAGAAACCTTTACCATGACTGTCAGAGACAAAACAGTGGGAGTGGAGTCACAATGAAGTGCTCAACTTTCTAACAAGTAAACACTCAGGTATTGAAGGGTGTTACGTTGAAACCAGAGGGACAACGCTCATCTTTGGATGAACAAAAAGTGGGTCAAAGCAGCTGTAAGAGACTGTCAGTGATAGGTGATTATGTTAAAGGTCCAATGCAGCCATTTTTATTTCAATATCAAATATATTCTGGGTAACAATTAAGTAATTTACCGTGATAGTTTCCAGTTAAAATGGTCAAAAATAAACTTAAATAGCTTCTTAGCAAACAGCAATTTCTCAAGCAACAATTTTGCTAGGACTGTCTGGGAGTGGTCTTAGTGGGAAGGGAAAAACTGAAAACTAGCTGTTATTGGCAGAGAAGTTTTGAACTCTTTCTTTTTGGTCTAACTAATCTACCACCTGGTGATGTCACCAGGCAAGCCAAAACTCCATCCCACCAAAACATGCTGAAAATTCAGGCGGTCTTTTCAAATGTCACTTAAACTAAAATGGCATTATCATTTTCACAATTTCACAGTATTATTCCAACCTCATAGTGTGGAAATATACTGTACTGGGCCTTTAAGAAAATGGCCCCAGTCCTATCTCCAGTCCCCCTAATGTCCCCCACCCTGAAAGGACTGAACAGTGGCAGTGACCCCTGGTCAGTCAGCTCCACTTGGGGGTCTGTGTGTGATGATGCATGTCTCTACCATGAGGCCAGTGTGTGTGTGTGTGTTTGAGGGGGTAATCTAGGTGGCAGACAGTGGGACAGCAAGGCAGCCATGGGCCGCTCTCTCTCCCCCCTCCCCCTTCCCAAGCCTAGGTTGTGAGAGGTTATTGTGTTGGCCTGGGAATGCATGGCCCCCACCTCTACATGCCAGCGTTATCGTAACCCCCCACCCATCCCTCTTAAACCAACCCTGACAAAGAGACCTTCACCCCCCACCCCCAACCTCAACCCAACTGCATAATGAGTCTTTCACTTTTATGACAGGTTTCTAACTTTCATTTTCCAACTTAATGTGCATGTGCTACCATCTCCACGTTCAAATAGCCCATATCTATGACACATCTACAGTAGGAATAGAAAAACATATTTGAGCGAAAATACAACAAATTGAACATATCATTTGACCAAATAAATTATTTTTCATGTATTTCATGTAAAGATCTGAAACTGCCTCACTGTGCCTTTAGGAGCTGCAGATTTCACCACAAGAGGGCAGTGTGTCTCTATGTTAAGAATAATCATGTCCATATTTCTCATCCCTTTAATCACTGTTGTTGTACCTTCTCTCATACAGTGCTATGTCCTGATAAAGCATGGGCCATGGCTCATTAACGGTGTCCATATATAGAGATGGAGTTACAGCCATTGATACATTGGACAAAGAAAGTGACAAAACCAATTGCAATGCCTTGAGGAAAAGTTATTTTTATTAAAAGTCATATACAAAAGGAATATCTGACGTTAGGTTGCTATAAAACGTAGATATGTACATTATATATACATAATAACATGGGGACAAGGACCTTGAGTCCTGAATACAGTAAGTAGGGACGTTGGGGTGCAAGGACTGAAGCCTTACTGTGTTTGTGAGTTCTTGAGTCCAAGTGTATCTTGATCAAATTCAGTGAATGGCTGCAACCACGTTTATCCATTGTATCCGTAGTTTTTGGTTAATATATGCAAACATAGCAACTGCAGTTAAATCATATGGGGAAAAAATGTAAGGGTGCAGGTGATAATTGGACCAAACACCAGCGTACAAAAGGCACCCCAGTAATTTGGATGCATAGTGGGGACATTTGAAATGTGAAGACATTTTACATTTAGCAGACGCTCTTATCCAGAGCGACTTACAGTTAGTGAGTGCATACATTATTTTATTTTTTCATACTGGCCCCCCGTGGGAATCAAACCCACAACCCTGGCGTTGCAAACGCCATGCTCTACCAACTGAGCTACATCCCTGCCGGCCATTCCCTCCGCTACCCTGGACGTCGCTGGGCCAATTGTGCGCCGCCCCATGGGTCTCCCGGTCGCGGCCGGCTATGACAGAGCTTGGATTCGAACCAGGATCTCTAGTGGCACAGCTAGCACTGCGCCACTCGGGAGATAACACCCAGAAGGGATTTTATCAGTGTGTTTGTTAGTGTGGTGTTCCTGGTTCTCACTTTGTCCCCACTGTGCATCAAAGTAACTCTACAGCCATGGAAAATATGGGATATTTGTTTATACAGCTATACATAGGAGCTATCAAGAACAAAATCATAAAGTGAAGACATTTTGGAGAGCTAGTTTTTGGGAGTTTCTGTCTACCTACTGCAACAAAAATAGAACAATTTCAATCAGATCATTTGTAAAATAATTGTTGGCAATGGAGTTTCTGTGATTGTACTGTTTGACTTTTCTTTGACTACTCACAACTATTCCTCCCCAGCCAACACCTCCCTGTATTTGTGGAGACATTTCATTTCCTGGCTCCTTTAGCACAACACATTCATCAGACGTTGTCATGACACTGTGGGGTCATCCTATCCTCTTGTTTCCAAGACAATAGAGACAGGAAGTGTCAGAAATGATTGGCATCACACAACACCATCTCTGAACCAACATAGAGCTAGAAATAGAAGAAAGGAACACCACCCAGCATGTCCTGATAAGACACAGCAACACAGTGCACCACAAGGGCTGGGTTCATTATATCTATATTGGAGTATAAAAATATTTCCTATCTGAAACCCATAATTATATTCTATAATACACATCACTGATGCCAAGTGAAGGTTTCTCACCAGGCATATCAACAATGCTTTTACCGTTCTAAGCATTTTAAGGTTTGTAGTTATTTTTTGGCAAATGGATTCTGCAATCAAGACTGAGAATCATCCACTAGTGCAATTAGACCGTGATTGAAAGGGAAAGTATTTGACAATAGTCTAGAGGCTCTATAATCTCTTGCATATGAGTTACTCATAATTTATACATATCAAGGAACAAGCAACACGATGTGGTATTGACTGCTTTCTTCGTCTAATAAATGTTCCTTTAGTTATATAAGGTACCTCCTAGATCATATCTACCTCCTGCTCAACTGAAGAAGGTGAACTCCCCCTGTGTAGGGCTAAAATGCTGTCCATATATATTCTCACAGGATAGAATGTTGTAAAGGAACAAATCAGAGCTTCTCCATTTGCCCGTTTCCTTCGCATGACTGTCTTGATCCAATAGGATGTCTGAAACAAAAACGTTATAATACAAAATAAAGGGGTACCGGTAAATTATAGATTTGACACATTGAGTTCAAAGTCCTTATAATGTAGAAGAACAACATTGTCCCTGTTGGTTCAACATAATTTCAGAGCTAAAATAAATACAGTTTCAACACTTCACCAAGAGAAATAAAACGGAATAAATAAATTAATCTCACTAAGACTTCTAACCCCTTTTCCACCACATAAAGCTTCAGCAAACCTGTCAACATGAATAAAAAATAACAGGAGCCAATTTTCTGTGTGCTTTGTTTCCCTTACAACCAACCAGCATTGACACACCATACACAATCACTAGCAGGTACTAAGTCAGTCAGGGTTGCGCTGTATGATGGGTTGTGGTTTATGAGGACCCTAAAATGGGTGTGGCAGGTGATCCTGACTACGGCTCCTCTGACTCTGGCTGTAACTCAAAGCGTCCCTGTATGTCAGCGCCAGCGCCGGTCGCTCGTACATTTCGCTTAGAGCCTCAAACTTGTCCCCCCAGTGGGACAGCCGGTCGTAGCTGAAGGCTGCTCCCTCCTCTTCCTCTGCTTTGTCGTGGGAGATAGCAGAACCCAGCGAGCTGAGGCTACCAACCGGGGACCCGGCGCCCTCGATGCTCCAGACGTGATAGCTGTCCGGCTGGAACGCCTGACTGTCGTTGTCGGCCTCCCAGATGATGCGCGCCACGTAGCTCTTGAAGTCCATGGGGCAGTGGCCCACGGAGCTAGAATGAGCATCATTACTATCATTAGTATAGCTTGCATTGCTAGCATGGTGATGATGGTGGTGGCGGTTGTGGGGGATGTGGAGGTAGGGGGCCCCCGAGCTGCATGCTGAGCCAGCAGGGTGCACCTCCTCCTGGGAACCCTGGGAGGACTTGATGAGGGGGGCGGTGGTGCAGGATGAGGACTGGGACAGGCTGGAACACAGGGGCCTCTTCAGCTCAGTGATGTCATAGGCATTCTGGAGGGTGAAATGGCATCAAATTAAAAACATAAGTATGAAAAATAAGTAAATGATTCCATCTAGTGGTCAATTTAGAAATTGATCTCAATGACCAGCGACGTAGGTAATTCCACTGTGCTGCAATGTCTGACCTGTGTGTGTGTGTGTGTGTGTGTGTGTACCTGGTCCTGCTC